GGCTGCGGCCGCCCCGCCCACCACCTCCACCACCTCCACCACCCCCTCCTCTCCCAGGTCCAGCTTTGGAGACAGCTCCTGTGGCTCTGCTGCCCCCACCCCCCCCACCCTCAGCACCCCCCCTGCCTGGGACAGCCTCTCCCACCGTGGTCTTCAACTCAGGGCTTGCAGGTAAAAACCCCCCTGTGTCTCCCCAGCGTGCTGCTGATGGCTGGAGAGAGGGCAAGGTCAGGGCTAGGGCTGACAGGGTACCAAGGTGGCACTTTGTTGCTCTCACTCACCTGATTAACACCCTTTATCTCGTACTGATACCATACTTAGAGGGGCTTGTCAAAGGAAAGGGCATGAACCAACCAAACACTTTGGTTTGCTCTGGACGAGGTGGCTTCTTCGGTGAAGCTGAAGCCATCGCCAGAAATATTTTCCCAGCGTGATCATTTTTTGGCTTTGAGCAAACAAAATATGGTTTTGAAAGAAATGCAAAGCTCCGTGGTTTTGGTTTCTTCTGAGAACTTGATGAAGAAATATCTGTGCAAGAAAGATGGGAAACCCTTTTGCTATTTCTTGGAAGGAGGAAAAATTTACTGCCTGCCTTTAAATCACGTGTCGTGCTCTCTGACATATGCCAAGCAAGCAAGTGCTAATAGGTACCGTGCTGCTGCCCCCCAGGAAGTCTTGAGAACATGGTATGAGGCCAGAAAGAGAGAGTGAGGAGCTCTGAGTAATAGCTCTTAAAAAAACCCCAAACTGATTAAGTATTCCAGCCTTTAGTTTCCTCTGAAAGTGAGAAGCATCATGGAAGTAGAGGGTCCCAGGATGTGACAAAGCCAGGGCAGCGCGGGGTGCCCAGGGAGGGGGGAGCAGAGCAAGCCCTGCTGTCACCCTGGCTCCTCTGAGCTGCACCCAGGGCAGCCCAGCTCCTCCCTTAGGGGTGGGTGAGATGCCCAGAGGTGTTGCCCTCCACCGGGTTAGGAGAGGGAAGCAGAGTGAAAATGCCCTTTCCTGATCCGATGGCTTTGCGGAAAGGAGCGTTTCTGAGGGCAGGAACCTTCTGGGTCAAAGAAGAGTCAGTGAAATAACAAACTTTGCTTTTCTGATCGTTACTAACATCTTGTTTTTCTCTGTTCTTCCTGCTTCCTGGTCAGACGGGCCAATCAAGCTCTTCTGTAGGTTGCTTTCTGCTAAGTATTTCCCCACCTCCCCGCGTTTCCCCCTGTGCTGTGCCCGTGCGTGCGCGACGGGGTGGTGGCTGGGGAGGGGGGGAGCATGGACACAGCTGGAACACACCCCGTAGCTTTGGGAATGCTGGTGCCCCGCAGGGTTTGGCACCTGGGAGGCCCTAATTCAGCAAAGCACTTCAGCAAGTAATGAAAGACGTGGGGTTTCCTTTTGAGCTGCCCTCAAGCTGCGCGCTCGGCTCTCGGTCACGCCAGGGATGGGCTCTTCCCAGTGGGGCCAAGTGCCAGTGCCCTCCACCAGGTCTGGTCCCCAGCTGTCACCTCCTCCCTGGCACGACTTGCCAGGGCTCAGCGATGGAGGAGGAAGGGGAGTTTTAAGAGATTTTGATGGGCTGCATCAGGAGCAGGCCCAGGAGGCAGTTAGCTTCCTTTCCTGTCCTGAAATAACCCAGGAGCAGTTAATAAGCTATTCTAATGTATGCAGAGAGAGAGAAGGTTCCTTTCATGGGGATTTCAGATGGAAAAAGCTATCTCTTTTTATTTTAGGAATTATTTTGAAGTAACCACATTAATCAAGCAGAGAGTAAAAACTCTCTTTGGTTTAGATGAGCAGAAGTTGATCACGTGTGTTCGTGTCTTCCAGTTGGATGAAAATAATTCTCAAAATACACAGCAGAATGTTGTGTATGTTCCCTCTTATTCACTTATGGGTCTTTGTTTCCACCAAATACTCTTGCCAGTAATTTATTCTTTGCAATGTCCTTGCAGAATGAGCACAAGATTGAAAGGGCTGTGGGCACACAACTGGATTCTTGTTTTAAAAGTGAAATGACAAAGGGAGAGAAATGTTTTCAGCATTCCAGCTCTGCTCCACAGCAGGACTGTCCCCTCGCATGGGTAGCAGCACACATGCTGAATTGTTAGGGGAAAGTAAAATAATTAATTGCTCAAGTGCTTTGCAACCTGGGAACCTGGCCATCTGCTGAAACCAAGGGGGAAAAACTGAGCATCTCTAGAGAGAACCGGGTGTTTAGCAGGACTGCTGGCAAGATGCAAAATTTCTGAATTATTACAGAAAATATTCATGTGCTTCCCAGACCTGTTAGGAACAGGAATAGAAAAGTTGTTTTCCTTGCTTCAGCGTTGCTTTTTTGTACACTGTTCACAGATCAACCAGAGTAGTCAGTCTGCATGTTCATGGCTTCTCTGGGTAGGTTTTACTAAACCATTTACTGGTTCTGCAGAATGCAAGAAGATGAAATCTGGTGTTTCAGCTGTGTTAGAGCTCGGCTGTGCTGCAGCCCTGCACCAGCCCCTGCAGCCCCTCTGGCTTTGAAAGCCCAACCTGGTGAGAAGCAGCACTGCCCATTGCAGCAGCAGTGGGAGGAGCTGCTCCCTGGACCAAATCCTTGCCAAAGGACCTTTTAAAATTCTTGTCACCTGGTCTGTGTTGCCTTTTGTGCCACAGATCAGCTGTGCCTGGCTGTGCAGCAGCTCGCAGCAGGGTGAGCTCTGCAGCCAGCAGGACAGGGTTAAATTCAACCACTCTCTTCATTTTCTGTAGAGTTTAAAAATAGCCTGGGCTTTTAAATCCCTCCAGACACCAGGCGGTAGTAAAGTAAGAACACATTTCCTTTAGGGAAGTTTTCACAGGCTCTGGTGCTCAGTCGGGTTCTGCAGGGGCCGGGGCTGGATGGAAGCCCCTCGGCGCGGTTTGCCTGGCAGGGCAGCCAGATCTTTCCAGGCTTTCCAGTGGGATAATTGCAGCCCAGAAAGCCAACTGTGTCCTGGGCTGCATCACCAGCAGCGTGGCCAGCAGATCAAGGGGGGAGGTTGTCCCCCTCTGGGCTGCTCTGGGGAGACCCCACCTGGAGAATTGTGTCCAATTCTGGGGCTGGCAGGGAAGAAGGACAGGGAGCTGTTGGAGGGAGTCCAGAGGAGGCCACGGAGATGATGCAAGGGCTGGAGCAGCTCTGCTCTGGAGACAGGCTGGGAGAGTTGGGGTGTTCAGCCTGGAGAAGAGAAGGCTCCGGGGAGACCTTAGAGCACCTTCCAGTGCCTGAAGGGGCTCCAGGAAAGCTGGGGAGGGGCTTGGGACAAGGGCAGGGAGTGATAAGATGGAGGGGTAATGGCTTTAAACTGGAAGAGGTGAGATTTAGGTTAGATATTAGGATTAAATTCTTTGCTATGAGGGTAGGAAGGCACTGGCCCAGGTTGCCCAGGGAAGCTGTGGCTGCCCCATCCCTGGCAGTGTTGAAGGGCAGGTTGTATGGGGCTTGGGGCAACCTTTGCTGGTGGGAGGTGTCCCTGCCCATGGCAGGGGATTAGGAGTAGATGATCTTTAAGGTCGCTTCCAACTCAGCCATTCTGTGATTCTATGAATTCAACTCAGTTGATCCTCCAGTGCTGAAATGCTGACTCAAAAGCTGCAGTTAGGAGTTTTTCAGCATTTTAGGAATTTCTCATTTCTTTTGCCCTGCTGTCCTCAGCTGTGAAGATCAAGAAGCCGATCAAGACCAAGTTCCGCATGCCCGTGTTCAACTGGGTCGCCCTCAAACCCAACCAGATCAACGGGACGGTCTTCAATGAAATAGATGACGAGAGGATCCTGGAGGTATGAGCCCTGCTTGCTGCCTTCTGCCCCTAACACAAGTGGCCCTTGGGCTTTGCAGGGATAGATCCCAGCAGCTCCTCCAGTGGCTCCTGGTGCCCAGCAAGAAGGGTCAGTGGGAGTGCCTGGTGGAGCATTGAGGATGGCAGCTGGTAATGTTCCTTGTAAAGGCTGCAGGCCTGTGGTGTGTTTGTTTAGAACAGACCAACCAAGATGAGGAGAATTCACTTTTCCTGCCCTAAAATAGCTGGTCCAGTCTGTAGGATTTATTCTGGACAGACAATAGCAGGCAGTGCAGGTTTTAGTGTTCCCAGTGGGAAGGGTAAATCATCTTCGTTCCTTTTTAGGATTTAAACGTGGATGAATTTGAAGAAATATTCAAAACAAAAGCCCAAGGCCCAGCCATCGATCTTACTTCAAGCAAGCAGAAGATAACTCAGAAAGGGTCCAACAAAGTCACATTACTGGATGCCAACAGGGCCAAGAATCTTGCCATTACGTTAAGAAAAGCTGGAAAGACAGCAGATGAAATATGCAAAGCTATCCATGTGTAAGTAAAGCACTTGTCAGCAAAGAAATGGTGCTTAAGATTTACTGTGGGCTTTGGTAAGTGGAATGGTTTTGAATTGGCAGTTGATGGAAATGTTTTTGCATCTGGAAAAACTCCAGGAGTGAGGATGGAGCCATTTTGAATTCCAAGAAATCAGATTCCTTTGAGCTAAAACGAACAAACAACTTGCAGTTCCGTGTTGCTGCATCCCTGCTTGGGTGTAACAAATTAACACTTCTGTTATTGGAGAAACTAACCCATGCACAGCCACAGTGAGCCCTGCACCTGGGACTCCAGGCCGTGACAAACATCTGCCATTTCCCCTCTAAGGAATATCTCCAACATCTGGATGCACAAGCGTTCCCTGGGGGCTGGTGAGTAGGGTGACCCACAGCTGCTGCACAGTGAGGCAGGTTCATCTGTTGGGTTTCTGGCCCAGTTCAATAAAGCTGCTCTTTGCTCCTCCTCACCTGCCTGCCCTGATAAGCATGAGGTGTGGCCATGGATCAGGGTGAGGAAGTGACCACATCTTTGGAAACAGGGCCAAGGTGCCCAGCAGCAGTAACCTTGTTCACATCTTCATGCGCAGCACCCCAGCCAGGGCAACAAGAGCAGGGGCACCTTCAGAGCATCTTTGCAGGTCCTCATTGCATTGCTGACTGAGGCTCATGTGTAGCTGAGCAGCAGGAAAAGCAGAGTCTAACTTCAGTTCCTTCTCCATCATTTTGTGTAGAGCCTGGTCGTAACATCACCCCTTCTGGTCCATGATCGTTCTGGTCGAAAAAGACCTTTAAGGTCCTCAACCATCAACCATAACCTAACTCCAACTCATTAACCCATCTCTACCAAGCCCAGTGCTTAAGCCACGTCCCTCAGCACCACATCTACACATCTCTGTCCTGCAGGTTCGACCTGAAGACGTTGCCCGTGGACTTTGTGGAGTGCCTGATGCGGTTCCTGCCCACCGAGAACGAGGTGAAGGTGCTGAGGCTCTACGAGCGGGAGAGGAAACCCATCGAGAACCTGTCCGACGAGGACCGCTTCATGATGCAGTTCAGCAAGATCGAGAGGCTGATGCAGAAGATGACCATCATGGCCTTCATAGGCAACTTTGCAGAAAGCATCCAGATGCTGACCCCGGTGAGTGAGGGGGCGACTCCTGGGGACCCCCCCTGGGGACACGGGGGCTTTCCTGGTAAGGGTGTCGCAGCCGCCAGGCACTCGGGGAAGGTTATGGAGATGGGAATCCTTACACAACAGGGGGAGGGTCTCTGTGCTGTGGCCTGATGATGAGTTTTGTGGGGACAGAATGAGCAACACACAAATGAAGAGGTGGTTTTTGAGCTGTGTTTTCATAGATCGGTGACCCCAGGATCCCGGGTGCTTCTGGTGGCATCTTGTAGCCCAGACTGCTCCATACCACCCTGGTTCTTTACCCTGTAGGAGTTTAAAGCTGGTTTAAATGAAAACCAGGTTGTTTGTATCACCAGGGAAAGTCATGATCAGTACTGGCTCTTTGAAGGGTGTCCCGTTCAGCCTGGTGCATCTTTCCTGTCTGTAAGGATTGAAATGTAAATGCCCTTTCAACCTCACGTGAGTGTGCTAAATCTGTGGTGCAGATGAATTATCCCAAATCCTGAGGGGTCAGGGCAGGGCAACATTCATGCTAGGGCCCATGGGATGGATGAAAAACAAGAGGGGTTTTTCCAAATGGGAGCGTTGAGATGTTAATGTTGCTGTTGGGTTGGACATGCATTAACCAAAGCCCTTCCTGTGTTTACCTGCAGCAACTTCACGCAATAATAGCTGCCTCTGTCTCAATAAAGTCATCCCAAAAGCTTAAGAAAATCCTGGAGGTAGGTCTGGTTTCAGATATGTACATTATCTCCATCCCTCACTGGTGTCCCCCCTTCTGTGCGTTGAAACCATCCCTGGATGCTGACACACCAGCTGTCCCTCCAGAGGTTTCCAAAGCCTCATGGATTCACCCTGAAAATTCATGCTGTGCTCTCTTTCATCCTGGCAGATCATTTTGGCCCTTGGAAACTACATGAACAGCAGTAAACGAGGAGCTGTGTATGGGTTCAAGCTACAGAGTTTAGACCTGGTGAGTGAACCTGAGGTGCCTCCTGGGGACTGGGTGGGTAACATCTCCTGCACACGGCCAGTGGCTTTGCTGATTGTTATATTGGGGGGCTGCTTGGGAGAAGGCACTTGTCTTCTGGAGCTCTGCAGATCACAGCTTTAAAACCACCTGCTAACCACTTAAACGAGCTTTTACATCCATCCCTGTCAGATGGAGAAGCACCAAGGAAAGGCAGACACCAGTTAAAGTCACTTTGTCAGAGCTGCTGCTCCTCCACCTAGCAGCCTCTTTGTCCTTCTGTCCCCAGCTCCTAGAAACAAAGTCAACAGACCGAAAGCAGACCCTGCTGCACTATATTTCAAACGTGGTGAAGGAGAAGTACCAGCATGTGTCCCTCTTCTATAATGAACTTCACTACGTGGAGAAGGCTGCTGCAGGTACCGTCACCCTCCTGGCCTGTCCCCTTCACATGCCACACCAGGGACCTCACAGCACACCACGCATGGGCTGCAGGGGAGCTTCTCTGTGGGAAATTGCTCAAGCTGGGGGTCCAGGTGCCCGCAGAGCAGGTGCAATGCAGCATTTCTGTTTTCTTTCCCAGTGTCTCTTGAAAACGTCCTGTTGGACGTGAAGGAGCTGCAGAGGGGCCTGGACCTGACGAAGCGCGAGTACACCATGCATGACCACAACACCATGCTGAAAGAGTTCATTCAGAACAACGAAGGGAAGCTGAAGAAACTACAGGATGATGCCAAAATAGCCCAGGTGTGCCTTTACTCTCAGAGCAGCAGCAGCATCATGTCACTGCTTTATGTACCCAGCAGGCAGGGGAAGGTGCAGCAAGGCTGGGGATTCGTTCCCGAGTTCAAGTGCTAAATGTAGATGTGATGGTCTGAGCCGAGGAGCTCTAGGCCCTTTGCAGTGAATGCTGCAGGACTGGGGGATGAGTTGACCTTGCAATCCGTGCAGCTCAGTGAATCCCCTGCTTTTTGTAGGATGCCTTTGATGATGCTGTGAAGTACTTTGGGGAGAATCCCAAGACGACCCCTCCCTCGGTCTTTTTCCCGGTGTTTGTCCGATTTGTGAAGGCCTACAAGGTAAACAAGAGCATCCTCTTCTCCTCTTCTGTCCTTCTGAACCCAGTTGGTGCTTGCTGTGGCTTGGGGCTCCCTCTGGCTTCGACACCATCCTCAACAGCACAGGAACACCAGCACAAATAGTTGTTCTGGAATGATTTTCAGTGCTGAAAGACAACGCAGGTGTCTGAGAAGCTGGAGGAATCCTCGGAAGTTGAAGGTCTGGGTAGCTGCAGCTTACACATTTAACCCTAAACCTGTGTCTTTTGGGACAGGGAGGGGATGGTTTGTGTGACCTGGAAAGGTCTCTCCCAGCTCAGATCTTTTCAGACTGTTCAGAGGCAGCTAAATTGCTACACCTAAGCTGGCTTCCATAGAAAGCCCCACGGTGGCCAGTGATGGTGTTACTTCTTCATAATATTTAGGTTCCCTATTGCAACTGAAAGCTACAACCTGTGCTTTTTTTTGTCACAAATAGCAAGCAGAAGAAGAGAATGAGTTGAGAAAAAAGCAGGAACAGGCTTTAATGGAAAAACTGATGGAGCAAGAAGCACTGATGGAGCAACAGGACCAAAAGGTATGAAACAGATTTGTCTGACAGACAGGAGCCATCACGTCCTTGTGTTTTTCCCAGTAGTTCAGAAACCTCAGCTCTGTGTAAGAACTTCATTTGCCCAACCTACAGCTGGACTCTGAATAGAGTGGCTGGAAGCTTTCTCCTTTGGGGAGAAACCCAGAGAAAGCTGATAGAGTGCAAGTGTGTGGTTCTGCTGCTTTGATTAAGGAGAACTTGAATAGAGAGAAGGTCAAATTTTCCACGTGGCCATAGCTCAGCTTTGCTCTGCTCTGGCCTGCTGTCTGTTGCTTCCAGGGACAAGGAACGACCCCTCCTAGCCCCTTTCCTGTCAGAGTGTGGCAGCAGGACCAAGCCCCACTTTACAGGACTTTTCCTGGTGGGGTTTTTTCCCAGGCTCTCAACCAGCCACTTTGCTGGCTGGCACTGCTTCCTGCGGCTGTAGCTGAGATCTTCAATCCCAGCCAAGCTTTCTCCCTGGGAAGGGAAGCCTGTTCTCCTCATTCCCCTGATGCTTTCAGAGGCAAGAGCTTGGAATTTCAGTTCCAAGTGATGAGAAGGCTTGGAAGCAGATTACAAACAGAAGCAAGAGCAGCCCAGGTAGCTTGTGCCTCTGCCCGTCCTCTCCGCGGGACGTGAACCAACCACACGTGTTCTGTCTTTCTCATCTTGCATAATGGGGCAGAAAACTGGCAGTTACTGTTCACTCATTGCTACCAGTGGGCTTTTCACATCCAGGAAGAGAGAGAGGAGCAGGAGGTCAGTCCTTACAGATCCTCTCCTCTTTGCTTTCAGTCTCCCTCACATAAAACGAAGAGGCAGCAGCAGGAGCTGATCGCGGAGCTGCGGCGGCGGCAGGTGAAGGATAACAGGCATGTGTACGAGGGGAAGGATGGTGCTATTGAGGACATCATAACAGGTAAAAACACCCTTTGTTCTGTAACCTCAGGGGCCCTTTCCCAGAGGATAACAATGTGTATATGCCAGTAGCTGTTGTAAGTGCTTCATGTACTTAAAGCAAGTGTCACTGGAGCACAGCTGAGGGTGCTGGTTAGATGCTGTGGCTCAAATACAGAACCTTTTGCTAAGGGTGTGGAACAAACCAACCCCAGGGACCTGTCTCTGGGTGGCTGCTGCCAGAGCTGTGTGCTTAGACCTGGGACACATGCTGGGTCCCTTGGTCCTTCCCTGCCAGAGCTGTGTGCTTAGACCTGGGACACATGCTGGGTCCCTTGGTCCTTCCCTGCCAGCCCCTGGGGACCTTCTCCTTCTCTGATGTGTAGAGTAGCCAGCTCAGTGCCTGGTCTCAGCAAGTGCTCTGGTGGGGATATGAATGCTGTGCAGATCTGTCCCAGGAACCCTTTTTTTCCCCCCCGTAAATGGAACCAATGACGGATGTTTAACATTATTAGGAGGCTACATTTTCATTAAAAGGTACTAACAGTAATTGCAGCACATTATTGCAGAATTACAGCCAATCAATTAGTCAAACCAGAATGATTTATGACCCCAAACTGCTTCTGGTTTCCCTGCTTCTCAGATGGGCAGGCAAAAAAGTCTGTGCTGATCCCAGCCTAGGGCTGGAGGGAGAGGTGCAGAACCTGCTGTTGTAGCCAGAGACAGGCAGGAAGCAGGTGCAAATATTTCCTGATAAAAAAAGAAAGAGTCCCCTTCTAAATAGCATTTTGCTCAGGAGCCAAAGCATCTCAACCTGTAGAGCTGCTGTGGTTGCAGGACTTTGGTTTTACTGCCCCTTCTTCACCTGTGCTGTGGAAGGAACACGATTTAAACACCGTGATAGCCTTACAGTCATTTGCTGCCAGTGCACAGAAGCTCCAGAAAAAAAGGTCTTTGGGCCAGATTTCCTTGGCTACTGCTCCTGGATGTTTTTCCCATGAGTTTCCTGCAGGAGGGCAGGAGAGCTGTTGTACCACCCACTGCGGAAAGCCAGGGAGTTTTTGCCCTACTAGATAACGCAGCTGAAATGCTTGAAGCTTTCAAAACTCTTTTTAACTGTGATTAATAGCTTCCTAAGATAATAGTCCTCATTTAAAGGGCAGAGCTGCTATAATATCTAATCTGTTACTGCTTCTGCAACTTCCTTCTGGAAGCTGGTTTAATTGGTAAAGAGGTTCTCCTGCTCTGCAGGAGAGACAGATCGTGTGGCAGGAGACCATCCCCATGGGAAAGGCAATCCAGTGGAGAGAGTGCCAGACTCCAATTAAACATTTCCTATGGGCTTGTTCCTAGTATTTCCCATGATGGACATGTCTCTGAGGGCCTCAATGTCATGATAAAGCTGTGTCATAGTAAAGGGTAGGCACAGCAAGTCAGGTAGGACTCAGGTCACTTGAGTATGGCCCATGAGATCATAGAATCATGGATTGGTTTGGGTTGAAAGGGACCTTAAAGATCATTTAGATCCACCCCCCCTGCATGGGCAGGGACACCTCCCACCAGCCCAGGTTGCTCCAAGCCCCATCCAACCTGCCCTTCCAGGGATGGGGCAGCCACAGCTTCCCTGGGCAACCTGGGCCAGTGTCTCACCAAATCTCTGTCAGTGGTATGAGAATAATCAAAGTCCAAAGTGTCATTTTCACTAGGCTAGTGCCTCATCAGTTGTGCAGGAAAGCTCTGCTGACCCTGAGCACTGGCTGACACCCCCCTCCTCAGAAGCACGTTTACCAGTAGCCTCTGAACCCCAAACCAGCCACGTGAAGTCAGAAATACTTGTGGCAACCCTGGCAAGTAGGCTGGTTTCCCAAGCCTGCTGCCCTGCAGTGGTGCCAGGCAGGTGTTGCCGTGGCAACCCTGGGTGTCGGTGACGGAGCACTAACACTGTACTAATGCCATGGATGTGCTTCTGATGCTGTTTGTCTGTCTGTTTGGCTGTTATTCCCATGCAGTGCTGAAGACTGTGCCCTTTACCGCTCGAACCGCCAAGCGGGGCTCTCGGTTCTTCTGCGAACCTGTTCTCACTGAGGAATTCCATTACTAAACTATTCCTCTTTCACATCTGATGCTCTTAGAAAAAAGAAAGGTTGCTGTAGATACTTTTTTTGTTGTTGACACTTCTCCGTTTGTACGGATCTCAGCCAGGATCATGTGAATGTTGAGTGTCTAGTGGTGTCCAGCGTCCGCCTCCAGTTGTATTTCTGTCACCTCTGTTGCATGTTCCTGTGTTCCAGTAACTTTTTTTATTCCATCCCATTGACTTGGCACTCGATGCTTTTGTGTTCCAAAGGCATCTCTCACCCTCCTGACAGGTGCCACAGAGCAGCAAGTGGTGGAGGTCACGGCAGATGTGGTGCAGGTTTCCTGCAGTTCAGGAGACTGGGCGGATCACCCGCAGCCAAGAAGTGACCGTTCACTTGGTTTTTCTGTGCCATCTCTCCTGGCCTGCAGATCTCCCTCTGTCTGCCAGGCCAGCTCTGGAAAATGCATGGGACACATCAGCCACGTGCTGAGGAGAGATCAGGGGCTGCATGAGCTGAGGGACCTGTGCTGGGGTTTGCTTTCTGTCTGGGCCAGGTTGTCTGTCATAACATCTGTCCTTTGCCAGGAGTGTTTTGTTGTAGACTTTTTAACTGGCACCTGCATGTGTGTCTGCATGTGAGAGGTGGGATGGAACGAGGGCATCAAACCTTTCTCGCTCGGTCACGTCCGTATCTAACTTCTCACAGTTCCATGCCAGCTTTCTCCTCAAAAAACCAGAGATATTTACTGGGCACTGACCAGCTCCAGGTCACCTGGACTTTGTGTGGTGCTGGGGCGGGAGCCGGGGGGTGAGGGGAGGAGTGGGGCTGGGGAAACACTCCCATCATCTGCCAGAACCACTAAAAGCTGGACATGGAACTGAGCAATTTCCATCTCGTGGTGTAAAGTGTCCAGAGGGTGTGTTTAACCAGCATGGCTGTGAACACTGTTGCCTTGACTTAAGGACTCGGTGCCTTAAGAAGCCAACAGTGTTTCCCTTTGTGTGTTTTTGTGAATGCTTCTAATAACATGGCAAAGGATAATCAGCTCAAGGGTTATTTGCTCTTTCGAGTTAATTGCTGTGTTGCCTTCCTGGAGCCAATCTTCAAAGCAGCTTGGAATCTGGTTAGGGAGAGGTGGGGGTGGCCCTCCTGTCCTTCCTCTGCTGCCTAACCCCTCTCCTGGCCTGGCCCTCACCCCTCTTGCTCTGTTGGCTGACGTGCCTGGGAGTTTTGAACGCTGAGATGACTTGCTTTTCATTTTCCATCCCATTTTTTAACTTAACCATCATTTTGTGTTTTGTTCTGTTTTGTTTTGTTTCTTTTTTTTTTTTTTTGTTTCTGTTTAGCCCTAAAGAAGAATAATATCACTAAATTTCCAAATGTTCACTCGAGGGTAAGGATTTCTTCTAGCACACCGGTGGTGGAGGATACCCAGAGCTGGCAAGCATCACTTTTTACTTAGCTTCCTCCTCTCTCTGTATGCCAGGCAGCCTGGTGGTAGATGTGGCTGAGCGTAATACTGGTGAGAGCCTCAAGGCCTGTGGAGACTGAGACCCTCTGATTTTCACCCCGTTGGGGACCCACAGGCCATGGGCTGGTGGCCATCTCCATTCCCCTCCAATGTGGCCCTTTCTCTTCCAAGTTGATCCCAAGACAGGCAATCTGGTCCCCAGGCTGTTTCAGCCCCGCAGTTCCCTGGATGTTCTGCTGCCCCCATCTTGGTCCTGTATGGATGAGAGATGGGCACGTGGAGGTGGGAGAGGGGGCAGCCTTAAGCAGATCACCTTCTCCTGGGATACACCAAGAGCTGAGGAGTTTGGGGGTTGTATTTAAACCGAGACAGAAGTCATCCAGGAAATTTGAGGGAGGGTTTGCCCAGTCCAATCCAAATTTGGTTTCTAGGAGAGAAATATTTTAACTGGCATTAGCTGTCGGGTGCACCAGGTGTGCTCGTTGTATCATCATGTCACAGCACATGTCACACAGACTTTCATCACCATGTCCATCTCCAGCTTTCTCCACTGTTTGGCCCCTTGCATGCTCAATATTCCCACCTCTTCCCTCCCCAGCTCCTGCAGCAGGGTCTGGCTGGGCTTTGCTGGTGGTGAGGAGGAAGGGAGGAGGTGGCCTCACTGCTGCCTTTGGCTAATGGAGTGTCCCTTGGGCAGCAGCAGGAGCTGTGCACTCCTGTACCAGCTGCTTTTCAGCACAGCCCTGCCCCTTGTGGTGCCAAACACTTGTGCTGTTGTACCCGGGTCACACCTCCCCAGGGAGCTCCATCCTCTGGAGAAACCTCCTTCAGCTGATGCCAGCGCTGGCGAGGCTGCCAGCACGCCCAGGGCAGAGGTGGAGCAGGCTGAGCCCGGCTGCCCTTGCCTTCCTGCCTGATGTTAATGCACACCAGTGGGCAAGGGAGGCATTCCCACCAGCTAGCTGGCACAACCCCCGTGCCCCTTCACCAGCACCTCAGTGCCTTTCACCAGTATTACCCGCTGCTTGGGTGCGTAGAACCAAGGGCACCTCCGTATTTGCTCCCTTCTGCTCTCGTTGGGGTGAAGTCTCTCCTCCTCTTCCTCACACAAGCTGCTTTGATTGGCTTCCAGCAGGACTTTTTCCTTGTCTGGCCTGCGTGTTGGGTGCGTGTTGGGTGCAGGTGGGTGCAGGTGGGGTGCTGGGGGGGCCTGCTGACCGACGCTGCTTCCCCTTCCCTGCAGATCTTCGAAACCAGCCGTACCGACGAGCCGACGCGCTGAGGGGGAGCGCCCGC